TACTGGGCTGCATTGTTAAGAGTGGTTGCCAGCAGGCCAGGGAAGAGATTATTCAGCACTGGTGAGGCCACATCTGGAGTACTGTGTTCAGTTTTGGGCCCCCAACTACAGAAAAGATGTGGACAAATTGGAGAGAGTCCAGCGGAGGGCAACAAAAATGGTGAGGAGGCTGGGGCACATAACTTATGAGGAGAGACTGAAGGAACTGGGCTTAGAAGAGAAGACTACCTGAAGTGGGGTTTGAAAGAGGATGGAGCTAGACTGTTCTCAGTGCTGGCAGATGACAGAACAAAGAGCAACAGTTTCAAGTTGCAGCAAAGGAAGCTTAGATTGGATATTAGGAAGAATTTCTTCACTAGGAGGGTAGTAAAACACTAGAACAGACTACCCAGAGAGGTTGTGGAATCTCCATCCTTGAAGGTTTTTAAGACCTGGCTAGACAAAGCCATGGCTGGGATGCTGTAGTTGGGGGTGGTCCTCCTTTGAGCAGGGGGTTGGACTAGATGACCTCCTGAGGTCCCTTCCAACCCTAATTTTCTATGAGTCTATGACTGTAATAGAAGGAAACACAGGTTACTGTGGTGGGTTAGGCATGTCCTAAGGAAGTTATATTGAAGGACATTTGCTACATCAGCTTTCACACTTGACAAATTCCTCAAGATGAAAGGTCTCTTTGTTCATAGAACTGGTAAAAGCAAGGATTCTAGAGCATATCCTGCCCCTTCCCACACATAGCCTTTTCAGAGTTGGATAAGCCTAATTAGGAGGGAGAAGGTAGATCAGTTCTTTGTCTGTCCAAATGACTCTACCAACAAGGGTTGTGGTTTGTGAGATGCAAACACCTGTTTCCTGGGAGCTGAACTGAGACTTCAACTCATTTCACATAGCCCGCCAACTTCATTTCATATATTAGAAAAATACCATTTTGAGTCTGAAATTCATGATGCCATGACTTCCAAAAGGGCAATGTGTGTTTTATAACTCATTATCGCTACTGTTAAAATGACATTCTGTTTTTCAGATGCATTACAATAAAGAATGGGAATGACCCAGAAAAGAATTTATAGATTCAGTTAATACATTTTTCCTTCAAGTTGTTGTCCTGTGGGGTCGCGCCAACTCCCAGGATCTCAAAATTATGCTGCTAGACAGGAGGGCACAGTGTACAATTGCACATACACAAACACAGAAATCAATTAGGTGCATACACACACACACACAGTCAATTACCAGCTCAGGCATATACACATCCAAACCAGCCTAGGCACATGTATACCTATCACCAATTCAAGCACATACACACTACACACTACAAATTAGACAAAAATCAATTGTCAATACCAGCAGACTCAGTACACATACACAGATCACTAATTCATATATCATGTACACAATTATATATATGTATCTATACACACACACACACTCACCAGTTCATACACGTACAACCCACCTACACATAGGTAAGTTCCTAACTTGGATGGTACAATATGTATGTGTGCTTGGGGTACCTGGGATACTTGGGGGAAGATTATGGTGAGAGAGAGAGAGAGAGTTAAAGTGCAGGGAGTGAACATTGCCAGAACCAGGATTAGAGAGAAGCTGACTGAGGAACTGAGGCTTGGGTTTACTGAAGACCAAGTGGCCCCAGGGTTACTTGAGGTCACTGGTGCATGGGAGGGGAAAAAAAAACAGAAGCTTGGTGGCAAGGAGGAGACATCCAGGAAAGAGAGAGAGACAGAAACCTGGGAGCTTGGGGCTGGAAACTGAGGCAGACAGCTGAGATATTTGGGGGGCAGGGGGGCAGATAAGTGGTGGCAAGGAGGAGACAGCCAGGAAAGAAACTGAGGCAGAAACCTGGTTGCTCAGGGGAAAAAGCAGTGGCAATGAAACAGGGGGTTTGGAGGCAGAGACAAGCTCAGGACAGGTGTTGGAGGTGGCAGAGAGCCAGAAGCAGGAGAGGGAGAAATGAGACAGAAGCTAGAGGGGCGAGGAGCAGAGACTGGGGCAGGGCTGAACCATAGTAAAGCAAAACCCAAACTCAGGGGTCCAAACAACAGGTTTATTAAACAGACAACACACTATACAGCCCCATGAATTTATTGGTTCTCACACACACACACACACACACACACACACACACACACACACACATCGCTCCCAAATCTCTGTAGCGTCTCATGACCTGGCTGGGAGCACTCCGAGCCGTGTCACTGGTGCCCACATGAATAAGAAGCATGGGATAGTGGTCTGTGGGCTGGAGGAGCTTAGGGATCTTCTCCTCAATGTCTCGGATGTTGGCCCCTGGGAAGCAGCAGACTTTCCGGGCTAAGGGGTTGGGGTGGCAGATTACTACCTCAGTCCCCCTCAGGATGGAGTCTCTCACAACAAACACTTTGCCTTTTGTCTTGGGGAGAGCGGGGGCGGTAGCTGCATTTGGGCCTGTGTTGCCTGTGGGAGCTGGGAACTCAGCAGGGTCTGCTGGGGCTGCAAGAGGTTCATACCTGTTGCTAAGCTCCGGCAGGGCAGGGGCCTTGGTGTGGCGGGCCTTAGGGCCCTTGACCACCTTGGTCCATCCCCCTGACTGGACAGAATGGGAGGTCCCGGAGTCCTCCCTTTTCCTGGAGGGAGACCGTGGAGGAAGAGTCTGCTGCAAGGATCTCAGTATTTTGAAACCATATGAAGTCAACAGAAAATGGAAAAATGGGAGCAGTAGAAACAGTCTGTTGCAGACCAAATCAAAAATCTGGAGCCACCCACCCAGCATGGAAACGGGCCCAAGTTGCAACAGTCGGTTGATCCCAGATCAGCCTCCTCAGCCATCTTCAGACTTACAGAAAAGACGGTCATGGAAGACAATCATCAACTGCAAGGTGCTGCTGAAGAAGACATTGAATTAGAAGCGTTGAACAGTGTAGAAATTGGAAGACTTGGTTCTCTCTTTTTATAAACATTTAAGTGCAACAGAAACATTTAGAGGAAAAAACAGATCCCAGAAATTTGTTGGATCATTTAGAATGGGTCTGTCCAACTTCTGAATGACCATGCTACACACCCTGGCTGCTCCGCCACACCAACACTAGTTCTTTAACCTATAGTATTATATTTTGGTTGCAAAAATAATTGAAAACTGTAGCCCAAACTAGATAGTGCTGGCTAAAAATACAGATGGGCTCTGCACTGCATTTTGATGTAGTAGGAGCTGTAGTTTTAATTGCAAATTTGATACTGTACTTCAATTTAGGGGAAAAAGTAACTGAAGTTGCTCTCAGTACTTTCTGAAACCTCTCTGTAAGGGTGCCTTTTGAGTTGGAATCAAATCATAGACTGTAATCCATGTAATTTCACATGTACTTCTGATTTTGTCTTTTAGAGTTGTGTTTTACAATTTAGGTTTAGAAGACTGCCTTAAAGAACAAAATGGAGGTTATTTTATGCTTAAAGATAAAGGAGCAAGTTCTGATATCCGTGATCATGTAGAGTTGTATCTTACTTGATGAATAATATTATAGAAGTCGCTATATTTTTATAGCTGCATGATGGCTGATTGAGTATGCAGTATTTACCAATATGAATAAGGGAATCAGACTTTGTCCCTTTTTATTAAAGCCAATTCATGTTATCTGTGTTCTTTTCTCTTCAGCTTTTCTTTAACATGTTAAGTTTCATTTTAGTACTAGCTTGTCTTTTCCTACCAAAAAATGGTTGGTTCCCATGGAGGTAATAAAATTAGACTGTAATTCATTATATTGGGTTTTTTGGGCAGTTACATTCCTTTTCTTTAACTCCTTCAGAATATTTCTGTTTTCTGCCCTGACCCATCTTTTAATGAGTTGAGACATCTGTTGTGATTTTTCTCATGACTGAATCTAGCACTGAATTCCCAGCAGCTGTTTTCACTTTCCAGATTTGAGTATATTTTCACTGAAATGTCTGTCATGTCAGGAAACCACTCATAGAAGTACGTAAAGGACTTGGGTAAACATTTTCAGATTCCTTGTGTGAACATTTTTAACTCCCTTGAGTCTTCCACCTTTATTGGTAACCGACTTCAGTAGAGAACTGGCTTTTCTAATTATGAGTTTTAATTTTTACGAATTTATATTTAAAGCATCAGACTACACTTAATTAAATGCTATTTTAGGTTTCTACTTAATCAGTCTTTTTCTTCTCTGCAGTACAGAATATCTAGAGCAATGATGTGATGAGTCTTCAAATCTAGCATTTTTCATTTCTGTTAGGATGCTGAAAAAATGTATGGCTATTGTTTAGTAATTCTGAGAAGTAAAGTAAATTCTACCCTTGATGTGTACAACTGATGTGATTGAGTTTACTGATTGTTATTTCCCTTTCCCCTGAGTTTGACAGAATTTTCATTTAGTAAAATGCAGACTTCTCAGTATCTTCCCTGAGGCAGTGGAATGAGTTATGGAACAAATATACAAGCTTTTAAAAGTTACTTTCGGTGTACTAATTAAATAGTTTTCTGTATTTGACCTTCAAGAAAGTGAGGGGTAATTGATTTATGTGTACTTTTGGCAACGCTAATTGTCCCAAAATCTACCTCTGAAACTAGGTGGAAAGAGCTGATTTGTCAGGTACATCTCATGTGAAGTAAGGATGGTAATCTGTGAGCGGGCTTGTCTGTGTGTGTCACTTCTAGCTCAGATCATATTGAAAGAACGGACTGTATTGTAAGACACCATACATGATAAAGTTGTCAGAGGAAAGAGTAACTTCTGTAACCTAGAATGAACTTGTTAAAGTTTGTATTAAAATCATATTCAAACTATTTCACAATCCTGAATGAGTTTACACTGTTGAATACTGTAGGTGTCAAATATGCCACTTTTTTTAAAGTACTAAAATGAATAGGACTTAAATATATTCTTAAGAGTTGACTTGAGCACAGACACATTTTTTTAATTGTTGCCAACATGCATACGACTCTTTTTATCTGAAATGATAGAAAGAAACATGATAGTTTTCTTCTCTCTTAGATGAACTTCGGCAAGCTATTGTGGCCATGATGAACAGAAAGGATGAACTGGAAGAACAGAACAGGTACCTTTTCCCTGAAGCATATACCCATTCTTTTTTCGCTTCAACTCCTATAATAACAAGTTCTGGGTGCAAGACTGTCACCCTGTATTTCTTTTCATGCAACTTAACAAGTATGATGCTGTAGTGTTTCTGCTGAAGAGGAATGCTCACAGGCAAACTTTTTCATTTGGATTAAAATGCTTGTAATGCTGATCTGAGAGTTCTTTTCCAAAGGCAAGGTTCACACAATGGAAGCCTACAGTTCTGGGCCCACATCTCCTGCTCCAGCTAGTAAATGATACTGCTTATATACTCTTGTATCTCAGAAAACATTTCTTCAATTGTTTGATTATGTTAGGGAAAACAGATCTTTTCTGTAGAGAACATGTCTCCCTTTGTGAATATGGTACCAAACACTGGGGCATCTATGATATTTTGGGCCTAGAGTTGAAATAAAAAATAATGTCATAATTATTTCATCTACTACTCTTGGTCCTTTTCTGTATCTTTTCGTAGCTTTTTATAAAATGCATGTAATAAATTTGAATAGGTACAATAAGATTAGACTAAGTGCATTTATTAGATTTGAATAATGAGATTTGGGGGTAAAATGAATGACATACTTTTAGACAACCTACTTATATTTGTTCATGTTTCATCTGTTGGACTGGTAGCTTTTACAATGTCTTAACAGATGGTACTCCCTTTTTTCAGATCTCTGCGAAACCTGCTTGATGGAGAGATGGAGCATTCAGCAGCACTCAGGCAAGAAATAGACAACTTGAGAAAGAAAGTAGCAGAGCAGGAAGAGCGACATGCAGCAAAGATCCAGGCATTGACAAGGTAGGGAGTAAGAACATATTGGAAAACAAGTATGAGATGCAGATACACTCTGCATTGTATTTTAAAAACTTCAAGCTTGAGGCTGAAGTTCAAGGTGAAGCCTTGTAAAAGTATATTTAATAAAGAAAAGACTTAAATGAGTAAATTGCATACCGAAAAAGCTAAATGCTAAAGATAGAGAGGAATAAACCAGTACTTTGGAACAGGTGATTATATGCATTCTATAATTACTCTATGGCAGGCACATGTATCACTTTTAATCATTCTCTGTTTAAATTGTATGATGGGTGTGAGAAATGTAGTAATTGTTAATTTATTATAACATTCTGTGTAACCATATGTTTGCACTCCTTTTGGTTTGGGATATTGTATTTTTCATATTTATTGGAGGAGAAAATTCCTCTTGGATGTGATGGCAGTATGGCTGCCAGTCTGTGGGCTGACAGAGTTTTTTTTGGTATTCATCTGGCTGCTAGGCAGGTGTCCTGTTTTATATACTTGTCCCTTGTAAAGCTATTGGTTTTGCCAAAACAAGACTTTCCCGGATGACTTCTTTCTGAAGTTAAAGATATGCAAATATGTAAGTAGCAACTCTTAAGGATGAGCATTAACAAGCATGGAAAAAGCTTTTTTTCTTTCTTCATAGTAGCCTTAGCCATTTCACTCCTCTTTTCCATAACTTGTTGCCTGGTAAGTTATAACTTTGGGTTCTTGGAAGGACTAAATACATAGGCTTTTGTATGTTGTGTGTGAAAATGGAATAATTTGGTAAATTGCTGGTATACTTTTGCAGAAATTGTTTTAAATCTAGTTATGGTATATTGTTACAAATTTTCTGTCTTGCTTACTTGCTTATGTAATCCATATAAGATCAGCTTTCAGAATTACCTCATGAAGCAGATGTGTTGCCATCTCAACCAATTATGCTTGAATTGAATTGTTTGGTGACTCATGTTTCAAGGACTGTCCTGACTAAAATTCTCTTCCTGGCATGCATACGCTGATGTATTTAGACTGAAGCATAAAACCAGTTCAACACATGAATAATCTTGGTTATGATTTGAGAGTCTTGTATTGGACAATTTGATTCTGGTATCTTCCTGCCCCATGGAGGGAAAAATTATAAAACTTCAACGTGTATGTTTGAAACTTAATTTCAATGAGTACAAATGTTTATATGCCTTAGGAGTGTAAATCATCTTGACTTTCAGTGAGGCTTAGCTACTGAAGTGCCATAAATTTAGCCACGGGTTAAAAATAACTAATAAGCATTAAAAATAATTTTGAAAATTCTATCAGTTGGCCGACTGCTCTCTTGAATCCTGCCTAATTGTGGTGCTTGGTGTCCTGTTTTAGCTGACTTCTATCACAAGTACAAGTTCTCTTCAGGTTTTTTTAACCAGTTCTTTGGCAGTGTCCAGTTCCGTATTTCCCAGGGGCAGCTGGGGCTTTTTAGCACAGGAGAGAAATGCAGGAGAAAGATGCATCTGACTAGAAATTTAGGCAGAAAAAGGATGACCAAATGAATTACTATTTCTTGGTTTGGGATCCCCAAATCATAAACCAATTAAATTGTAGAGGTGCACTGATACATTGGTCTATATTGTATCGGTACTAAGAAACGGAAAATTGACATTATTGGAAATCAGCTTTTTTTTTTTGCTGTGGCTGATAATGTCACTGATAAATGCCACATGCATATGCAGCCATAGCATGCTTGTGGCCAGCCCGGTAGCTTGGAGAAAAGTGTTTGGTTGGTAAGTCTGTTGCGGGGGGAAGGGAAGCAGGGGGAAGATTGAGGCCCATGTGGTGAAAGAGGGGCTGGGGCTGGTGCAGGCACTGCCCAGCCAGGGTAGGGCACAGGGCAGCGCTGTGAGCGGCTCATTTGGGGGAGGGGGAGTGGCTATGCACACTCCCAGGGGAGCCTTGGAGGCATGTGCCCCCCAATCTGTGAGCGGGGCAAAGGTGGGCTGCCATTTGTGGGTTGGGACTGGGGGCAGCGCCCGGCTCTTCCTGACAGTGCGAGAGCTGGGCTGGAGCTGTACTTGGTGCAGGTGGCAGTGGCAGTGCTGGGAGGAGGGCTATGGTGAATTCTGGGGTGGCTGTAGCCCACCCTGTAGGCCCCCCCCAGCGCCTCTGCCACCCACCCCGAGTGCAGACCCAGCCCAGCCTCTCTCCTGGGAAGAGTCTGGCGTTGCCCCTGGCCCCAGTCCACAGTGGCAGCCTACCCTCGCCCTACGCACAAATCTGGGGGGCACATGGCCCACATGGCTCCCCCACAGTGCATGCAGTAGCGGGAGCTGCCCCTCCCCCTGGATGAACTGCTTGTGGTTCTGCCCCATGCCAAGTCCCAGCCCCGCTCCATCCCTCACCATGGGGGGCCTTGATCTGCGCCCCCCCCATGCCTCTTCCCTCCCCTCTGCCCCTTCCCTTAATAGACTTATCAGCTGGGCTCTTCAAGCTGCCAGGCTAAATATTGGCAATTGGATTGGTAGTGGCTGATATGGGTCATTAATAATTGGCCATTGGTATCGGCACAAAAAAATCTTTATTGGTGCACTGCTATTAAATTGTAGTATATAGATAAAAGTAGAGTAGCAGTTCTAGGCATCTGATAAGGCAGCAAAAAATTCCACCATACGTGTAGATAGTTGCAACGGTTATGAAGCCTCAGGACAGATACCGTACTTAACTATGATGCAAAAGAAATTGTCCCAGGCTTGTGTTAGTGTGGGCAAAAAACTGGAAAATAAAATATTCCGCAGCTGAGCCTTGTTAAATGCATGTGCCTAGGATACCAGCATATATGTTTTTACACACTTATATCACAGAAGATTTGGGTTATGTGGCTAGGGTATAGGACTAACTTTAGACAGTGCAGGTTAAGACAGGCATATGGTTTATGCATGAAAACAACATAAATTGGTCAGTGCCAATATATTTTTGACAGAAATCATTTCAGGTTTAGTTATAAAGTATGTTACACATTTTCTGTTTTGTTTTACATTTTTTGTACACAGTATAGGTCAGTGCAGGCATGACTGTCTCACGTTACAGATTAGTTGGGATGTGCATTTCATACTATTTCCCATTATGCCATAATGTCTAATCAATAGATGGGGCGGGGGGAGCAGGATATCAAGTGGGAGTCTCCAGGAGTCTGTCCTGGGTCTGAACTTGTTTAATATCTCTATTAATAGTTTTGATCTTGAGGTTGAATGCACACTTAAAAAAAAATCCAGATCACACCAAGATGGGTAGACTTGCGGGCAGGCTGGAAAGCAGGATTAGGATTTAGTATGATTGATAAACTGGTGAAATGATCCAAAATTAATCTAATTACTTTCAGTAAAGTCAAATGCAGAGTCCTGCCCTTAGAACAACAGTTGCATGCACAAATATAAGCTGGGGAATGACTAGCTAGGCTGCAATCCTTAGGAAAAAGACTGGGTGATTTTTATAGTGAGTTATAAGCTGAGTATGAGCCAACAGTGTGCAACTGTGCTTTTTACAAAAAAACCCAATAGAGTATTGTAGGGGTAGGCAATGTTTTTGCAGTGGGGGTACCACTTTAAAAGAGCTTAGTTTTGAGTGTGGGCCACCTCCAACCCAGCCATATGCCACCACAGCAGTTGCTGCTCACCCCTGCAGTGCTGCTGCTGCTGTTTTTCCTCATCACTTGGCTGCCATGTGCACGGAGTCCTCTAGCTCCATGGTCCATATAAAATGGGCCATAAGTTTGCCAACCCCTTGAATATTGAGGTGTATTAGTAGGAGCATTGATTGCAAGTCAAGGGAAGTGATTCTTCTACTCTGTTCAGGTGTGTTAGGACCTTATCTGGAGTACTGTGTCCAGTTTTGGGTGCTGCTTTTCAAGAAGCATATGGATAAATTGGAAAGAGTCCAGTATAAGGGACAAAAATGATGAGAAATTTAGGAAATGTGAATGTGAGGGAAATTTGAAAGACATGGGATTATTTTGTCTGGAGAAGAGAAGACTGAGGACGGATTTGATAACAGTCTTCAGATACTTGAAGGGCTGTTTTTTAGAGGATGGAGATGGACAGTAAACAGAACAAAAACAACAGTATTAAATAAAGTAAGAGACATTTTAGGAAGAACTTTCTCACTATATGGGTAATTGAGCATTGAAAGAGATTAGCTAGAGGTTGTGAAATCTCCACCCTTGAAATATTTAAAAGCAGGTTAGACAAACAGGAGGTGGGACTATTGGACTTTCTAAGGTCCATTCTCTCCCTGGTTTGTGATTCTGTGCATCATCAGGAAAGCATAGCAATCCTTATACCTCTCAAGAATTTGATAGCAGAAAAACAATGACCTTTTCTTTTGTGGCTATGGAATACGAGTAAGAACAAATATTCAGTATGGTAAACTAACTTTCAGCTTGTTGACTAAAAGTTTTATATAAAGGAACAGCAGCATATCACAGTACATATTTTGTGTTGATTATTTTAAAACTCCCCTAACAGTACAAAGTGCGGACTTTTACAAAAATCATTGAAAAACGAACTGGTAACATGGACACAATGATAGTATGAATAACATAACCTTTAGAGGTTATGCCTGGTTTTTTAAAATCATTCAGAGGCACAAAGTTGCCTCTATTCCCTGTGAAATAAGTGTGTATTCATGAGTATATGTTACCACCTAAAAATAAGGCTGCTTACAGATGTAAACCCCCCCCAAACCCAGCACTTTACTTTAAACTTGGCATGCCCCAGTGCTGAGCCCAGTGCATGCCCAGAAGAGGCATTATGTTAGTTTGACCTGGCTTGCCCAATGTCTGTATAAATTGGACTCTTTAGTGGGGCTTTTTTGGCACTTTTATCTAATAGCTGATTGAATCAGCTATTAGATAAAAACACCAAAAAGCCCTGCTGAAGCATGCAATTTATACAGCTGCTGTGGAGCTGTGTCGAACTAACTTGCTGCCCCTTTTGGTAGAGTGCATTTTTTTTCGTTTCACATCTGCCCGCAGC